ATCCACTAAATGCTTGCAGCTTCCTCTAATTTTTGTACGGTTGCGAGGGTGCCAAACATTGCCCTTATGCCCATGGAAGTGGAGAGAGCAAAATTTGTAAAACGAGAACTACTGCAATTTATGTGGTTAGAATCAGGATAAAAAACGCAATGCAGCCGTATAGTTTCATTTTTGTAACTATCAACATTTATATACAGGGGTGGCCAAAAAAAGACACTTTGCCCATGGCGCACATCATCGAACTTTTCGTCGCACAGGGTGCCGATGTTAATGAAAGTTTTACGGCGGAATATTCCTTAGGTGTTCCCCGTAAGCAGAAGCAGGCCCCTCCTTCACTGCCCCCGCCGTCTTCAGAATATGACGTCATCTGCCGTCACCGTCGAGCTCAACGAGGCTTACCGTAATCGCTCCGGCCTGAAGCTGCTTCATAATTTCTTCAATGAATTAACTGTTAAAACTCTTCAATCTGAAAGCAGATTTGGGAGTTTTGTGTGAGCTCTTTCTAATCAGTATTGAAATTACAAAAGTTATAAGAAATAACAAATTTAGATCAATTAACGAGGAAAATTCGAGATGAGCACGAGTTTTTACACTTTCCGAAGCCATAACTTGCTTCATTTTCGTCAAATTAAAAAGTTAATACGTCATACAAAACTAGAAGATTTGCTCTATCAAACGGTTACTAAAACTGCTAAATACGTCCAGTATTAAAAAATGGCCACGTTGAGGATTTTTGCCCGAGTACCGCCGAAAGGTACTTTTTCGCTGCATTGGCACTATTTCAACGACTATAGCTCCTTTCAGGGGCGATTACAAAGTAGGAGCAGATTCGGAATCCTCGTGCTTTTCTCTTTCCAAAAAGTGTAAAATTGTTTAGCGTATCTCAACTTTAACAGGTTACATGCTTATGAATTTGACGCTGAAGGCTGCATTTCTTGTTGAATAGTGTACTCCTCCCTGTAATTTCACACGAACCCTTTCAGAATCCTCTTGATTTTTCCTGAATTGAGATTCTTTCTCCGTAGTTGAAGCGCGCGCAACCAACTGGGCCCACTCTGGGATGCGCCGTGTGCTTCACATCCCTTCAGATTCGAGGACTCACTTGAAAGATAAAATATCCCTTGGAAAACGTGCGAATTTCGGATTTCTCTTTTAAAAAACCCATTGGCGACATTGCGGCTCGACGCGGGGACGCACTTTTTTGCCACGACGGACAATGCGGCTCGATGTGGGGACGCAGCATTGAGATAACTCTTCTCCGCAGGATTTCCAGAAGTGTTCCTATAGCATACTAATCAGGAAGGCGTTGTCATACTTACGGTATTAATGGTCAGTGCATATCTTCCTACGTTGATGTTTTACACGAGGGGTACTTGAAAGTGATTTTCCAAGGCAAAGCTTGTTATTTTTGAATGTATCCGGCTGGCTTTTCGCCTGGAGTCAGCTAGAGTAATGCTACAACATTTCACAAAGAGAGATCTGGATCCGACCCCATTTACGGGTTTTAAAGTGGAGATTTGAAGTTTTTCTGGCATGCTCCAATATACACCCTCGGCAAAACCTAAAGATTTACGCTCATTTTGGAAGCGGTCTGCAATCATACGAAACTTGCAAAGTTCTAACAGTTCATGCTTCAAGATTCAACATTTTTGGTGCAGGTGGTTAGCCGCATTATGACACATTTTTCGAAAATGTCAAAAAAGGCGTCCGCACGCACGCAGACAGCGAAAAATCGCATTGTTAAATTTGTGTTGAGATTAACAACAGAAGTACTGAGAATTGCTACACTCGGACACTTTGAATCCGAAATTTTATGTGGACCGAAAATCCGCACTGTTACTAGGAAATCGTCCTGGCTTGCCATGGCCAATCCGTTCGCATCCTTAGCATGTTTATCCTCGGCGACGGTTGTGAGACCTTCTCATCAGTCCGCCCGTCTCTATCTCCTAAACGGACGTTCACGGCCCCCCTGTCGACGTGTCGGGGATTCTTCAACGCACGCTTGACCCTGCTTATAACAGCCTTCGCAAATTCAAGTTTAATTTCAAGAGAGGATTTAGTAGGGAGAAATTCAAGGGAATGTCTTGAAGTTGATCACCATGGAAGTAGCAAATGAAGCTGTAGGCAATGACACGAATTGATGCGAGTTCTGTACAGTAAGCATTTAACTAGAGGAGCTCTGAAAAAATAATTTTTTTTGGCCAAAAATTCGGCCCGGCTCGAATTTCGAAAGCATCTAGTCAAATGCACATGAATTGAAGTTGTAAGGTCGGGCAACAACTCATAATTGAAATCGAGTAGCGTTTTACATTCCAGCCCTTTTTTGGGAATATGCCACGTGAATGACTAATTGACCATTCGGGTAAACAACGATGTAGGAGTTTCGAACAAATGCTACTAGACCTTTGAACTTTACAGCCCACAGCGTTCTCACTCAATCTTTGCACGGCTAGCATTCTGTCTGATTTATTTAATGCAGAAATGCTGCTAGTCCAGAAAAACCTAAGAAGCTGTCCGTAAAAAACTGGCAGCTTGTTCATAGTTGCAGCCAAGAGTAATTATGTGACGGTCTACGAATCCGAGTCCACGAAATGAAGATCCAACACTGTGACTGAGCCATTCGTCTCTTCTGAGGATCTTAGTGTCATTTTATAATTTCATAAATAAGAAAAATAACAATAACGAAGCAAAAAAACCCAGGGTGAAAAGCTTGGATTGCCATTCATTGCAACACCTATCACTCAAAGGCACGGGTCTGGATCAAACGTATGCAATAGTGCGCTTGCAAGTGACAGTGGAGATGTAAGGTGAAGGATAAAGGATAAGGATAAAGCATTTGCCGTTGATCAATCCCTTTTTGGGATGCGGCACGCATTCTACTTCCATTTGTACATTCGTAGTGGCGTTTGAATGCGATGTGGCCTATACAATGACTTGCGGGGGCCAGCCGATGTACAAGTCAGTGTTTTTATCCTCCCAGACAAGTCTGGTACCAATTAACCGACCCCGGAGGGATGGAAGGCTTGGTTGGCCCGGGCGACTCACGACCCAGGATTTGATCCCCGGACCGCTCGCGTGGTAAGCGTGCCACTTGCCACTACACCACTTCCGCCCTTGTAAGGTGAAACGCGTGGTAAAAAACGAGAAGAATCGTAGACAATGGCGAAAATGAAGCGCCCCTCTATAGTAACGGCGAAGTGAGGTAACATTGACTCGTGGGCGGGGCCAGTGGTGTTGGGCGGGGTTAATGCTGCATCAGGGCCTTAGCGTCTCGGCCTTGTCAAATCATCGGGAAACTTGTGTACATGATTACCGCTTGCGCAGAACTGCATTTTCTTGGGGAGAGGTTCAATTTCGACCAGGATAACCTTGCTTTTAATACCTTACCAACTAGAACACTTATCACTACAACATGGCACAATTCTCGCTACTCACAGAATTCACCACCGCAGGGAATAGTGGATAGGATATAATGTGTGATTTTGACCACTGCAAAGAAAATCTACAT